GAGGAAGCTTATTAAGATTGACATATGTGGGAATATTCACAATGAACTAAGTTAAATACACCCACGAGCGCCCTTCAGATCAAAGTCTAAGGATGGGCTCTGAAGTAAAATAAAACCAAACAGTTTCTGAACATAAATATCTATGAATTATCAAATATGATATGAAAAAGACAGACATGTTGAAACTGGCTGTGTCTGAAAACACTTGCTGATGTGAAAAACCCTATTGCAGAAAAAAATTTTGCCTTTTTAATAGAAGCAGTCATAAGTTACTGTGTTAAGTATTAGCATTATGTTGGTTTATCATCTTCACTGACATGTATTAGTTTCTTTGAAAACTGAAGTGTAGGTGGGGTATCTGGGGAGGAATCTCAAAAACATGTCATGGTTTAAAAGTTTTCCTAACTTAATACATAAGCACAATCACAAACCAGAAATCAGGATGCTTCAGCATTCTTGGTAAGTGAAACTAACTCTGGCTTGGTCAGACTATCAATTTTTTTTATGGAGAGTATCAGCATGATTCCCTCTTTAGGTTCCAAGACAAGGAATGCACCTCATTCTACAGAAGAGGAGATACTGTTGACAGATGCAAGTAGAGCTCTTCTGTGGAGTTCAGAATATGCAAGTATAATTACTCCAACAAAAAAAAAAAAATCCAATTACATTCCTAACAGATAACATCAAAGAAGTGTGTTTCCTATGGTACTTCATCAGACAAGTCCTTGGCTGCAACTCTATTTTCATCTAGGTCTGACTGCAAACCATAATCTCAGTTACTTATTAATGTGAATATGGTAAGTGAGCAGTCACCTGGAAGGCTGACTCCTATAAAAGAGGGAAGTGAATTAACTCCTTGCCTAGTGTACTTACCAAGAAATTAGCAGGTATTGGATCAGAGAAGGAAGTTGGAAGAAGGGAAGCAGGTAGGCATTCTCTAATGATTAGGGCAGTGGAAAAGCCAGGAATAGATTGAGAAAGATGGATGCCTTTTGGGAAGGTAGGAAGGATATGGAAATGAAATGTAGTGGAAGGAAAAGGCAACAGTAGGAAGAGATCCATTTCAGCTGCTGCTCCTAGAGAGAAAAAGGAAGAAATAGTAAAGGAGGAAAAAAAACCAGGGGGGGTGGGAGCAGATGGGGACAACACAAAACCAAGGAATACAAGAAACAGAGGAGAAACACACACAAATTATCCATTGCCATGAAGAAAGCATTCCAAGAAGTTTAAAGGATAACAAGTCACAGATCACAGGAAGGGTTAGGGTGTACTACTGAAAAAATCTGTGGCTTCTGCTAGTTTAAGAGCAGGCCAGCCCTACTAAACAGCACGAGTCACACTGGCTGATAAGTCTGAACAGTTTCACAGGGCTTTTTTAGGTGTTGGTTGGGTTTTTCCTTTTTTCTTTTTTTTTTTTTAAATATTGACAGCAGACTTCCTCAAATCCAAATCCCCATATTTGATTTACAACTCAGTTTTACAAGGATAATTGAGCAGACTGCCCCTAAGGACATGCCACAGGAGCAGTAAGTTTAATATGTATTATACTGTGTTTCTGTGTAACAGAGGGTATCCTTGAACACAGAGAAAAACATGTAAACTCCTAAGTGCTGATGGAATTCAAGCAATGGATTCAGTTGCATATATTTCCACAAACTCTGAAATCAAACGACCAGCCAAACTCTGAGAGTCTGCTCCATGGAGCTACTTGCTATCAAGAGTTTTACTTTGAGAGCTTATGCTTCTGAAGTTATAAAAGCCATGGTCTCCTGCAACACAGGACATTTTAAAGCAGCAACATGCAATGTTCTAGATAAAAAATCTAAGTTACTTTCTCAGAAGCCTCCCAGCTTAACTAACTACGATCTTTGATGGCAGTTCTTTTTACACTTGTTAGCACTGGGAAATTTTCACGGCTGTCAGAGAAAGACCGAATGTGCACTGTTTTCTATTCAGCTCACATAATTAACAGAGATATTATCTAAGAATTATTTTCGGACCCAATTATGGTTGTGGCTGATTTCCTGTTTCTCAATAGGTCTGCGAAAAAAGCTGGTAAAACTAGCTTTTAAGAGCTCAGCCTCATTTTTCTGTCCTGGATATACTTACCAGTCTGGTACTTAGACAAAACGAAAACAAACAAAAAAAAAGGTGCTTTTTAACCTTACAAAAATGGAGGGACAATTATGAAAATCAGTAAAGAACTCTCTGTGGTATCCCACCATGGCATTTTTGTGCAAGTATAGGGTGGTGCTGTTTTAGCAAAGGCACAGAGATGAGACCAAGCAGATACAGGAGATTTAAAAAAAAAAACCACTAAGCCTTGAACTCAGACTGTATAGTTACATACACTTAATATTCATTCCACTGCTAAGCACAACAGGCAAGTCTAGCACTTACAAAACAGTATTTTCCTTCTAGATTTCACACATATACAAATTACGTCCATTAAAGATACCAGTCTTCACAGAGCAATATAAAATAATGTAAAACGAACCATGAGAAAGTAGGTACTGTTTTACCACGGCATTTTCACTTGCATAATATTCCTGATTATTTTACAGCAATGTGACTCATTTACATACCACATGCTACTTTGTTTCTGAAACATTTTGTAAATAGAAACAAAAGTTCTCATTCAGAAAATTACTGCTGTTTTATTTTGAAGCATAGATACAGTGTTGAACTGGCAACTTTCTTGGGTTCAAGTCAAAGATGACTGAAGGTTGAAGTAGCAGTATTCACAAAAAAAAAAAAATCAATGGCAATGAGTTACAAAAGCTACATGCTCATTCTGTACACGCAGCAGTAATAGTCTACTTTGCCATTTTAGTGTGGTGCTAAAAAAGCATAAAATGTAAAGTGGAAATTACAGATTCTTCACGGGGTTACATCGAACATAAACCTGTAACCTGAGTCCTTGAAAACTTACCCTAAAAGCTCACGTAACAGCCAAAATATTTTTATGTCAAGACAGGCTGCATTTCGAATACTGCTTGGGCACTGCAGTTTATCAAATATGCTGTTACAAGAGTAAGTTACCATATTCATAGAATCATAGAATGGTTTGGGTTGGAAGGGACCTTAAAGACCATCTAGTTCCAACCCCCC